ATAGTTGCAGATGATAGTGCTTACTCGCCTCCAACACATGAACACTCAAACGTTTTCCCCCACTCTATTTGCCCATGTTTATTTGTTTACAATGTTGAAAAATCCTCTTTCTTTCATATATACTTTTAGCAAAAGATCTAACAGTTCTCTTCAATCTTGGGGAAGAACCAAATGTAGCATTCTATGTGCTTTTATATTTTCATTTCAGCTACTGAGGCTGCTCTTAACATTTTGATCTTCATTTAAAGTGTGTTATTTATTTTTTCAATGTGTCTGGTGGTGATCGACTCTTTATCCAAATGCACCTGCCCTTTTCTTAATATCCACATGCCCTTTTTGCTTTGTACTCATTCACAGTGTGTAACCACTCCAGAATAAAACCTCTTCTTACCAGTTTTATATTTTTGCATCTGTGTTTCACGAGGATGAGAAAAGATGTGTTTTAGTTTCTCTTTCCTAAGGTATTCTTTTGATCCTATGTCAATGAGCTATTGTGGATAATATTTTTTCCATTCTAAAATTATTTTAGCAGACTTCAGAGATTCTAAATATTATGATTTGTGGAAATAATGAATGCTCTGGGATCTGGTACTTGGGAATGCAGCATCGTATATTTACTGCAAAGGTTGTAGTCTCTATCCCTTGCAATTATTCCTCCATGAATCTTGGGCAGTTAAATATATCATTACTAGGAAATGGTTGGTTTCCAAGTACAATGAAGATTATAGCTATAATGGGTGTTTCAGATGGCACAAAACAGATTTTCAAAAACAGATGCATAGAATGAGGTCTTCATAGATATCAAATGCTAAGGGCTCATAAGTTCCAGTTGTCTGTTTTGAAACATAAAATTGTGTTGTTGTTGTTTTGCTTTTTTAAATGTAAAATTAGCAATAGAAGAATTCTAGTGACCCAAGTTTATGAGTCACTCCATTCTAAATCTGGATTTTCTTCTTGGCCTGAAAGCAAAGCAAACAGCAATCATCTTTGAAACTTGCCTTGTTAGTGAAGATGATTGTGACTTGCTTGCTATATAAGCATCACTGAAACTTCTTCATGTTTCTCATGCACTGTCATCCATCCTTGCCCATCCCTGATTTGTAACAGCTTTGTTCTTTTGTCTCTTAGTCTGTTCGCAGTTTTCCAGGGGAGTGTATGCCATCTTTGGATTCTACGACCAGATGTCGATGAACACGCTGACGTCTTTCTGTGGGGCGCTGCACACATCTTTCATCACTCCCAGTTTCCCAACTGATGCTGATGTGCAATTTGTCATTCAAATGCGCCCAGCTCTGAAGGGAGCCATCTTGAGCCTCCTGACTTACTACAACTGGGAGAAGTTCGTGTACCTCTATGACACAGAAAGAGGTAAGACAATCCCTTTGAACTCCCTGCACTTTCCTCTTTCTGCTCCTACACACAAGGTATTTTATCTAACATAATTTGTATACTGCTTAATCATCATGATAGGTAAGCAGTTTCTTTCCTGGATCATCATCTGAGAGCTAGCATGGTATTGTGTTGTTCTAGGATTCATATCCAGGGTTTAAATTGCCACTTGGCCATGGAGACTTCCGGGGTGGCGCCATCGGTAATGGCGGACTCCCTCTGAACTGGAGGGACCAGCTCCGCATGAAACGGGTCTTTTCCGCTACGGCGAAGCGGGGACCCTTCTGGAAATCACAGGCGGATGAAGCCTGTGACCGTGGGACTCGGCGGGCACCCTTAGCGCCCCCCCAACCCACAAAGGAACCCACTAACGGGCTCCGAAGCGAAGAGGGGGAAGTGGCGCGGTGCTGTGAGTCAATTGCTTTTTCTGCGGAGCGAAGCCACATAGCTGTTGCCGGAGAGCGCTGCCTTTTCCTGGGACAATTTGGCATCTAAAATAACCACCCGTGAGTACTGGAACATTGAACATTTGGACTTTAAATAAGAACTGGCGAAATAGAAAGGAATTTGGACTTAAAAATTTACCTTAATTTGGTACTGAAGCGGTAAGGTCTAAACAGGAAGTCAGCCTTCCGTTTCCTTGTAGCCAGAATAAAGCAAAGACAACATAAACTAGAGCTTTAAAAATCACTTTCAAAGGATTGGTTTTCATCATTTAAAATAGCTGAACCCCCCTTCGGCAGCAGGAGAAGAAGGGGGATCTTTTTTGGGCTGTTTAAACCTGCAGAAGTGAGTTTAAAGCAAAGTAATTTTCCACCGTCCTGATCCTGGAGCGGGGTGTCAGAATTGACGTTTGAAGCTCATTGACCAGAAACAAATGTCTTTGACAGATAGTTAAAAGAAGAGAAACATAGTGATTCCATTGTTTCCTTTCGCATTTTAAAAAGAACAAATATGGACAAAATACCTTAAAAAAGAAACTTTGTTGCTATTGTTTTTAAAAGAAAGAACAATCAGAAGATTTCCCCCTAGAGGGGGACTGTGAAATTGTAACTAATTCCTGGGAGCTTGCAGCTGCCACAGATTACAACCGTGGGAAAGGATTTGTGACCTTGCAGGACAATGTCTTCAGAAGCACTGTTGGGTGCTCTCTGCAAAATAAATGCCCTATTGGATCAGTTAAGCCAGAAGACGGATTTGATGACTAATGCAGCCAGAACCTTTGAACAGGTAGTGGGAAATTATATGGAGCCCACCCAGGAGCTAAAACAGAAGTGTGCCATGACAGAACAGCTGAGAGAAGAGGATGCTGCTGAATCTTGGGCGCCAGAGACGGAGGGAGCTGCGGCCCAGCAGGAACATAAATTTTTGGATTTGACAAATGAACTTGGAAAAACCAGACTTGGAAAGATAAAGTTTGGTTTGGTTTGGAAATGGGGGGTTGGACAGACCCCCCTATACAGGGAGATTTGGACTTTTCGAGTCTGCCAATGGGCCGTCAGATGTTTGGAGCTGTGGGGGCTCTCAATTTTGGAAGGAATCTGAAACATGTTTTTAAATACCACATGGAGTCTAGTCTGGACTATGGAAAAGGGGCTGATTTGTTGAAAAGGGTCAAAAACATTACCAAGCTGGAGTTCCCACGAATGACAGGAAAATATGAAGAAGAGCTGCGGAAGGGACATGGAAGAGACTTGAGGGCTTCGGATATAAGATTACCAGGTTAATGTGCTAGATTAATAAGATAAAAAGGACTGACAAAACCCGGGACCAGGAGGAAGGGACGCTGGATGAAGATTGGATTGTTTATTTCTTTTTTTTATCATTAGGATTGTTCTATAAAATTGATGAATGCTAGAAAAATGTTGAAATGAAATTACTTGGCTCTTGTAAAAATGTCTAAAGAATTTGGTAAGAATGTTATGGCTAGGAGAAGTTGGTAAAAATAAGATTTAAGTTTTAAACTTTAAGGTTTTCTATAAGATAAGATGAAAATAGATTAAGGTAATGTAATGACAGAATACTATGAATTATGGAAAGGATTTGCTGTGATTATTATTAATCAGGATACAAGAAAAGGGAGGAGGAGGAGGTCAAAGAAAGAAGGTATTGAAAGTGGAGAATTTGAGAATGATGGTTTTATTTTTATTTTTATTTTCTGTCTTGTCTTTTTTGTGTGTGTAATTTTAAAAAAAAATTTCAATAAATATCATTAAAAAATAAAAAATAAATTCCCACTTGGCCATGAAGCTCACTGGGCAACCTTGGGACAATCATTGGCTCTCAGTCTAACCTAGCTCACAGGTTTGTGTGGGATTAAATGAGCCGGGGAGAACACCATGTGCATCATGCTGAGCTCCCTGTAGAGAAAAGAGGGGTATAAATGCAATAAAGAATGCAAAGAATAAATAAATAACAGATATGTGTTGATAACAGGCAGCTCCCTAGCCAGATCTGCCCTAGGTTGCATCAGCATGCCAAAGATTCTAAAGCTAACTCTCAGCTGTCAAAATAAGCCACCTTTGGGGCTGAGTATTCTTAGTCCTCTTCCTTAGTTCTCACTGTGGCTCTGTGATATGGGGAGGTGAAACCTAGATGTTAGTACTTAAGATGCTAAATACAAGAAGCAGTGTAAATGAAGTAATATTTATTTTTACTAAGCAAATATTAGCGGGGTCCAATAATAATAGCAGTGTGATTGAGCCATGATTGCAGCCCATCACAATGTTATGCTAAGCCTGGTTCCCACAAATAGCAAATGAGGTAGTGACACTGTGTCTGGATTATACCACTTCAGGCTGCATAGTGAGGGGGCAGCTAATTTAACTGAATAATCCCAAGTACCAAAAGAGAAAAAGAAATAATCACAGAGAAACCTGTGCAAAGAACCTGGGATGTCAAGAGGGAGAGATGCTAGCTTCCCCTTCTTAGAAATCCAGCTGGTGTTTATATCTCTATGCTCTTCCTTATCTCAAACTAATTGCTTTCTGCACACAAAGGATGGGCAGAGAAATACATTTTGGACCAGAGGTGCCCATTCAAAAACCCATTTCATCCCATTTCTGCATTATTCAAGGAGATGGAATTGCTCCCCGATGAGGAAAGGTTACAGTTAGGGTTTTCTAGTTTAGAGAAAGGACAGGTAAGAGGTGACTTGATGGAGGTGTATAGAATTATGCATATCATGAAGAAAGTGGATAGAGACAGGAAATTATTCCTCTCTTGTAACGCTACAACTCGTGGGCAAGCAGTGAAGCTGAATGTTGGAAGATTTAGGAGAGGCAGAAGAAAGTACTTCTTCACACTGCTATCACACAAGAGTCAGTGGTGGTCACTGATGTGGATGACTTTAAAAGAGAATTGGATAAATTCATGGAGTGCAAGGTTACCAATGGTTCCTGGTCACAATGTCTATTTTCCACTTCCACTGTTGGCAGCAGTGGGGAGAGTGCTGTGATGCTCAGGTTTTTCTGGCAGGCTTCCCATGGGCATCTGATTGGCCACTGTAAGAATCTGATGCTGGGCCAGATGAGGCTGTGGTCTGATCCAGCAGGGCTCTTCTCATGTTTTCTTTATGTAATGTATTTGTATGCATGTGGATACACACACAAACACACACACACACACACACACATATATATACACACATACATACATACAGTTTGTGTACTGTGTGTGTGTGTGTGTGTGTGTGTAGTGCGCGCGCACGTGTGTGCATGTGTCTCGATGTGTAAATCCATACTTAAATACATGTTTGAATCCATATAAAATTTCATATTTAAATACATGTTTCCATATGCATTACACATTTCTAAGCATACCTTATCCTAAAATATTCATTTTATACTCAAGTTTATTTTTATATCTAAAAATGGGATTGTTGTATTGTGTGTCTTAAGTGTGGATGCTTATATCTCCACATATGTGAAACTGGTTTTTATACCTGTAAGCTGCTTAGAAGTCTATTTGGGCTTTCAGTGGTATACACAGTGCTTTTTTTCCCCCTTAAAAAATGTTTAGGGGGTACTCTCATTTTCCTACTCATATTGAAATACTTCCCCTCAATGAGGTCAAACTTAGATTCATAAAATGTTTAGGGGTATGTGTATCCCTGCATACCCCCAGAATAAAAGGCACTGGGTATACATAAAATAATAATAAAAATTAAATAAATAATTCTAACACACTTTGGCACAATTTGATTAAGCGAAAATTGTTTCACAAAATTTGGAGAAAACCTGAGTGATTTTCTGAGCTATTCGTTAGTCCAGGAGCTTGGTTTACTGAAAAGCATGGACCAAACAAAAACAAAAGCTACCCTCTATTCCAACTCTATACTGATTTAGAGTTCTGCTGCCTCTTTATATAAGGCCAAAGTGACAATTTGGGTACCACCATCAAGAAGCAAAGAGTTGAGTTTCAATAGAGTGAAGCTTTTCAGCTTTGGGGTTTCTTGTGGGCTGATAAAGTCTGTGCAAAGCTGATAAAAAAGCCTTTGGGTGGGGCTAAAATGACCTGCACATCACTCTTTTATCTTGGGGGGGGGTGCTGTATTCTATTCTGCACAGCAGTTTTATCACCCACAAATCAGTGGTGGTAGGGCGTGGCCAGAGGCAAAAGTTGTTGGAGCAATAACAGTAAATTTTACTTTTGCAGAGTAGGCTAGTTTCTACCTGCAGTCACATACCCCTCTATATCCACCATCCAGGCAAACAAGAGGCATTATCAGAGTTTAATGACATATTCCATCCAGGCAAAAACATTTGAGGAGAATGCAAAGCAGGGCTGGTGAGAGGTGTGTGGCCTGAGGAGAGTCACAAGACCACATTTTGCTCCGAGGCCTGAGATTTCCCATCCATGGTATATGGTGGGGAGCAGGGAGGAATAATCCTATCACTTGCTTTGTATGCACCTTTTAGTACAGTTTATGTTAAATTTTGGGACGTGGGTGGCGCTGTGGATTAAACCACAGAGCCTAGGACTTGCTGATCAGAAGGTTGGCGGTTCGAATCCCCATGACGGTGTGAGCTCCCGTTGCTCAGTCGCTGCTCCTGCCAACCTAGCAGTTCAGAAGCACATCAAAGTGCAAGTAGATAAATAGGTACCGCTCCAGCAGGAAGGTAAACGGCGTTTCCATGCACTGCTGTGATTCGCCAGAAGTGGCTTAGTCATGCTGGCCATATGACCTGGAAGCTGTACGCTGGCTCCCTCAGCCAAAAAAGCGAGATGGGTGCCACAACCCCAGAGTCGGTCACGACTCGACCTAATGGTCAGGGGTCCCTTTACCTTTACCTATGTTAAATTCAGCAGAGCTCTTGAGGAACTAAAAGACATCTCAAAGCCAGGTTCTCTAAAACAAATTGCTGAGATACACACTCATACAAATGTAAAGTTCGCTGCAGTGATTTTTCCCAACCTTTTGCTAAAAATGAGGTGCTAGTACTCATATCTTGATAACAATGATTGAGAGAAAGGCAAGGGAGAGAAAGGCCAGTATACCACTGGGCACCATCACACACACACACAAATACTGCTCTTATCTAATCCAATACAGTATGGCGAGCTCCAAAATTAGTTGCTGCTTGGAAACCGCAGGCTAGGTATTCAAATAGCTTTGACTACCCACAGATTTCAGATAGGGGAAAAACTGGCTTGGAGCTACTTTACTTTTTCTTTTAGCTGGGGAAGAGAACTTGGTCTGATTTTGTAAATATCTATAAAAATATAATTGCCTTACAGTTTCACCAAAAAAAGCAATGACAGTTTGTGTTTTGGGCAGATACAACCACAGTCAGAACATCTGTTTCATCTTTTTTGTGCTGTTAATGCCCTGTGAGAATATCTTTCCCAGACTAAGAAATTAAAGAAGTGTTGTAATTACTGCCCGAGGTCTTTAAACCCATAAAATGTAATAGAGATGCTTAGGCCCCAATACACGCACACACACACACACACACACACATTCATATGCACAGCTCAGTTGCTAGCAGTTGTTTGGGAAGCGTGCCCTGATTCACTTTGTAATACAGGCCTATCAGCACATCCTCATGCACAGGTGGATGGCGGTGTCATGGCTCACAGGTAATGCACATGCTTTCTATGCAAGTGGTTCCAGGTTCAATCTCCAGGAAAACATCTGTTAAAAGATTTAGGTGGTAGGTGATGGGAAAAGCCTCTGCCCTAGACTCAGAAGAATCACTGTCACAGTACACAAAACTGGGCTAGATCTGATATAAGACAACTTCCTATTTTCCTAGTGGTGTGTATTTTAATTGACCTGTAGCTGTAGACCTGTAGACTGGCTACAGCAGAGAGTGTAATGTCATCTAAAACTGTACTCTCTCAGTCAAGGAAGGCAGAAATCTTGCTCCACCTAAACTTGACTTTGCTACTAGGGTATGCCAGTGGCAGAACAGAGGGAGCTACGTACATTCTTGCTCCATGGTTGATGAATGACCAAAGGATGCCGCAATGGACCCCCAACCCATGCAAACCTCTTTGTTTCTACTATGTCCCACCTTGAAAATGCCCTTGCACAGTGTAACTTTTGCAGCTCAGTGGCAGAGCACATGTTCTACATGCAGAAAGTCCCAGTTGTGACCACTGGTATCAAGGGTTGCCACCTTTGGTCGGGCAAAAAAGGGAAAGGTCAGGCAAAACAAAGGACAGGTTGGGGGGGGGACTGGGGGAGCCACACACATTCTCATGACACCCAATCCCTGCCTCCCGGCTTCCTCACCGCCCTGGTTCCGCTCTTCCCCTCGACTCATGTAGACGGACAGGGTCCAAGGGTAGATAGCCAGCTCCGATAGGCAACTTGAGCTGCAGCTCCTAACTCTCTCCTTTGCTGGCATTGGAAGATACTCGAGTGGGGAGGAGGAGGAGGAATGAGGGAAGAGATGTCAGGTCAGGGTGGTGGAGGGGGCCAAGCAGTGGCAGACCCACACCATGCTAGACCAAAGTGCAGCGGCTGGCTGAGGAGGAGAACCAGTGATAGGGAAGGAAGGAGGAGCGAGGGAGGGAGGGGGAGGAGGTCACGCCTTACCCCTTCTCTCTTGTGCTGGACCAGGCTCCTCATCAGCTGCACCAACAGCGATGCAACCACCATTTTGGGCCAGCCAAGCTCAAATATAGGGGGGAAAGACATCCCATTTTAAGTCCAAATGGGACAGGGGACACTTTTGTTAAAAAGCATGGTGATCCCATTTTTCTAGGGACAAGGGGGCAACCCTATTGGTATTCCCAGTTACAAGGTTCAGGTAATGGCCAATGTCTCTGCCAGAGATTCCAGCATGGTATGTTAAGTCAAGAATAGATAGTGCTAAGTTAAATGGAGATATAGTTTGTACTGGTTTAAGGGTTCTGTGTTCCACACATTCAAATGTGCATTGCAGCATAGATGTATCTCTGGTTCTGGTACCCAGGTCCTTCTGCTAGTGATGCCTAGGATAATGTCTCCATGAAATCTCAAAGCCTGTAGAATCCGCCAGGCGTGGTGTGAGAGGGGTATCAGCTCGGGTCTTTCCGATGAGCAATCTAAACTGGCCCACACAGAACTCTTGGCTCCCCATGAGAGATTTGAGAACTGCTCAAGTTCTGGAACTGAAGAGCACCAGCTTGGTGGATGTTTGTTCTAAGACCATGTGGAAGTCAGTAGAATTTCCAAGGGTTTTTTGTTCTGCTTTGTTTTGGGTTTTGGGTTTTGTTTTGTTTTTACTTTCCATCTACTTTTATTGTTTCTGGGGGAAACCAGAGCAAGCTGGAGTTGCAGGACAAGTGCATTACCTTTTGGAACAGGAGACCCTAAATCCCATCTTCTTGAGAGTTGTAATTGTATTTGACAGCATCTGAAACATTTGGCAGTTTGGGTAGCCTGCCTAATCTATTGTGATGGGTCTTCAAATAAGGGAGCATCGCAAGAGCCTCCCCAGTAATTGTGGTGAGTGATTGCTTGTATCAGATGGTTCAGTAAAAGACCTCATATACGTCACTGCCAAAATCCCACTGAAAATTGGGGAGGGCGGGCAAGGAGAGGAATCTGGAACTGTCATACTTTTTAATAATTTGCTCTGTCAAATCTTTGCTTGCTCGGGGCACTACTGGGAGACAGTACTGAGCAATTTTCTGTCGGTTCTTGAAATACATTATCATTTAAATACAATCTCTCTCTCAGTGTGTAAACATTATTAGCTTACTAGGCTGTTGTTAGAATGGGGTGATCGGTGAGAAATCGCAGGCTGTTGAGCTGTTTCCTCCTTGGTTTGACTATTGAGTTGCTGGGAAAGACAGATAGAAAGCATTAAACTCTGGATTTACCAGTGGAATGGCAAGTAGCATATTACAGGTGTTTGCAAAATAGAATGTGTTTTTGTAGAGGGGTATATTATATTGTAAGCTCCTTGGAAGGCAGGGACTTATTTTGCTCATGTTCTGTAAAGAGCTCCAGCACTGTAGTCTAAGTCCTTAACACTGTGTCACACTTTGGGGTGATCAAAATTCGAAACACAGGATGCAAACTTGATTTCAGCATGGCTAGGATCACTATGGATGAAGAGCCTCTGCTGTAACTGAGTCCATGGGATATACCCAGGTTTAGTTGTACCGAGAGTGGATCCACTGGAGATATTGCTACTTAAAACTGAGTTATGGTTTCAGTGGGTCTACTCTAAACATTATAAGGTCTCACTCCAACCCTTTATTTTCTCCCTTTAATAAATATTGACTATATATATATATATATATATATATATATATATATATATAATCTGCTTGGGCAATAGCCTTCCCCTACATTTGCTCTGTATCTGCTGCCCTGCAGGACATCTTCGAAATAAGATAAGGTTAAGGAGTAAGTCCTATACAAATCTGGAATAGAATCCCTAAAATGGTTGGAGGCACCTTGTATGCCTCCTTCTACCAACTCCTGCAGCCCAGCTGATGTAAAACATTTTGCTCTGCTGTCCTTTGGACCACATCAGCGGGTCCAACGTGTCAGCAAGGGTCTTATTGTCTGGGCAACCCAGGGCCTCCATGCACACTGCCCAAGCTTGCACCCCAGGGAGGTCACTTCAGTGCTGTTAACACAGCATTTGCTCTCCAGCAACAGGTATTCAATGGAATATTTCAGGTACTGGGAATGTGACACTCCAGCCTCTATATCTGGTCCTGCCTGGAAAGGAATGCAGTCCTCAGACTGGAAAAGGGTTACCTGCTTCAGGTATATCGGCATCAAAGATGGAGGTTCCACTTGATCATTATGACTAAATGCTGTTGTACGCAGAAGGCTCCGGGTTTCCACCTAAAGTAGCAGCAAGTGATGGGAAAGGCTTCTGCCTAAGACCCTAAGGAGTTCTTGCTACTGAGAGTGAGAGTCCTTCATTTGAAGGGTTGTTCAGTCCTACTCCAGTTTAAAGTTAAAGAGCCCTAAGAAGGGTGAATAAGTGCCTTGAACTTATGCGTCAGCAATTAACACCTGGGCAAAAGCCTAAGCTGGCAGACAGGATGCTTGGCTATAGTGGGAAAGACTGTCACATTCTTTCTGTAATGGCACCAAGACATTCAATGTGGAATTCAGTGTAGCACTAAGGAGATAGTTCCCACAGAGAAAGCATTTTCTCCCTCTGATCTGGGAAATTCCCAAACACTCCAGAGCATATCTATCTGGGGGATGTGTGGGGTGAACCCCAATGTACCAATGAGAGTCCTTTCACTGGTTTCTGCTAGCGGAATAAGGTAGTTTAATCTGGTCCATAAATTAGTACACACACACACACATAAATGAAAATATGGCTCCTTTTTTTCTGGCAATGATTTGGCACTACCTACATATCAGAGTAGATAATTCTGGTCTAGATGGGCAAATACTCTCTTCTAAGACAGCTTCTCATATGTGAAGAGCAAGCTGTGAAGAACTACATGCAAAAACCCATGCTTCAGTATAGCATCTGATTTGCATGCAGAAGGTCTTAGGTTTAATTCCCAGTATCTCAGGTAGGACTGGGAAAGTCCTCTATCTGAGGTTCTGGAGAACCACCACCAGTCAGTGCCATAGCTGTCAATGTTTCCCCTTTTTTTAAAGGGAAATTCCCTTATTCCAAATAGGATTCCTCGCAAGAAAAGGGAAAAGTTGACAGCTATGGTCAGTGCACATAATACTGAGATAGATGGGTCAAAACTCAGACTTAGTATAAGATTACCTATGTTCCTATTCAAATGACAGTAACAGTCAGCTGAGAACAACTAAAGATGCAATAATATTATCCATGCTATCTTTACATATTCTCATCTAAACAGGTAGAGAATCAGACCTTAAAGGCCTAATCTTGACTCAACAAGCTAAGAGGGTGGGAGGAATTTAAGTCAGCAATTATTGTTTTCTTACTTCACTGCTAAGTAGACCACAGGGTAAAACACCATGGTGGGAAATCTATTAATTTGATGTACAGAGCAGCCATGTTGAGAGTCATGTTTAAATGCAATAACAAAATGAATGGTTTTTTTCATGGTTCTTGGGGGGCTGCTAAGTTGGTATTTATCCTAAACAATGATGGTGAGTTTGTGCTGCTTTCATAATCATACCTCTTTCACAAATAAGAGGCAAAACTTCCTAGACTTATAGCCAAATAATTTATTGCCATCATGCATTGGAACACCATCCATGGAGGCAAGGAGATGTCATACATTGAAAAAATATTTCCTGAAGATCTAAAGCAGGTATTTCACCACCTTTTAACAAGTCTTGTGTTTAGTTTTGGTCAGTTTTAGTAATATGCATACATTTATTTATTTTTCATTATAAAATAAACATCACAATAAACATCACAACAAATAAATAAAATAAAAATACAACAAATAAAAACAGATAAAACAGTTCTCAAAAGAACTCAACCTTATAGGGGAGCCTATAAGCCACTGAGCAGAAAGTGTGGTTCTGCTATGCTAGTCATGGATTCCCCCAAAGGATCCTGGGGACTGTAGTTTGTTAAGAGTGCTGAGAGTTCAGAAAAGACTCCTATTCCACTCTCAGAGGTGCAATTTCCATAGTGGTTTAACAGTCAATCCCTCTACTCAAGGAACACTGGGAATTTAGCTCTGTAAGGGAAATAGGGGCCTCCTAACAAATAGCCTCCTAACAAATGGGACTAGGGTGGCACTGTGGGTTAAACCACAGAGCTTAGGACTTGCGGATCAGAAGGTCAGCGGTTCGAATCCCCGTGATGGGGTGAGCTCCCATTGCTCGGTCCCTGCTCCTGCCAACCTAGCAGTTCGAAAGCACGTCAAAGTGCAAGTAGATAAATAGGTACTGCTCCAGCAGGAAGGTAAACAGCATTTCCGTGTGCTGCTCTGGTTTGCCAGAAGTGGCTTTGTCATGCTGGCCACATGACCCGGAAGCTGTACGCCGGCTCCCTCAGCCAATAAAGCGAGATGAGCGCCGCAACCCCCGAGTTGGTCACGACTGGACCTAATGGTCAGGGGTCCCTTACCTTTACCTTTAACAAATAGCAGAACCCTTAACAAACTCAAGTTCCTAGGATTCTTTGGGAGGAGTCATGACTCTTTAAAGTGGTATAATGTTACTGCCTTAACTGTGTAGTGCAGATAGGACTTTCATCTGGTGGTTCACAGACTCTGGAGGCCTCACCTACTTCATCCTTCTAAGACCTCCCAAGCACATTTTGAGCACGAGACAAGCATTGTGTGTTATGAGATAGGAGATAGGTGCAGAGCTCTTCAGCTTAGCACAGAAAAATGGGGATGGGCTATGAACAAAAGATAAAATTTAGAAACAATGTCTAAAATCCTCCAAAGCTTCTCATGCACTGATCAATATCACCAAGATTAATAAGGAAAGCAAACAGAATTATTTAGGGCATAAAGAGAGGCAGCACTGAATGCAAGATCTGCATGGAAGGCAATTCCAATGCGCGGCCATTTGAGAGTTGCAGACATGCCATGTGTATAAGCAGGCACTTGTTTTAATACATCCTATTTAAATATTAACCAGATCATAAATATGCATGCTTGTGCTACTCTCACAGAACAGGATAAAGCATGTTTAATTTTCATGGTATGTGTAGATATGTAAATTATTTAAGGGAAAGATACTTTGTTCACTGAATTTTTGGAATGCATCTGTGGACCAATTCTAGCAACAAACATGCATGCAGATGAAATGATGGTTCCCCTCACCCTCCTCTACTTGGTTCTACCCCTGACCTCAACCTCCACCATCAGGACTATTTAGGGATATTTGTTATGTCCCTATAGTAAATATATAACCCCTTTTCTCTCCATTTCTCTCCTTGATTTATTTTATCACCAACTCTCAAGTGTGTGTGTGTGTGTGTGTGTGTGTAATATATTCTCATTCTGACTTTCTTGTGGACAATGTAATATATATATATGTATATATATATATATATACACACACACACACACACACACACACACACACACTATGTCAAATATACAGTGGTACCTCTGGTTGCAAACAGGATCCATTCCGGAGCCCCGTTCGCAACCTGAAAAGAATGTAACCCACGTCTGCGCATCTGCGCACGGGCGGGTCGTGATTTGACGCATCTGCACATGCGCATGATGTCATTTTGTGTGTCTGCACATGCGTGAGCGGCGAAACCTGGAAGTAACCCTTTCCGGTACTTCCAGGTCGCCGTGGGATGCCACCTGAAAACGCGCAACCTGAAGCAAACGTAACATGAGGTATGATTATATAAATGAGAAATAAAACACAAAACCATACAACAAATAAATTAAACAGTAATGTTAAAGAATAACATCAATTTACCATTGTTGAAGGATATGTTCTTAAATGGCCTGGTGAAACAGAAAAGTTTTCGGCAGGCATTTAAAAGTTGGCCCCAAAGGCACCTGCTGAATCTCTATTGGCAGAGTATTCCATGGGATGGGGCCAATGAAACTGAAGATTTGGTTTATTGTTCGGTCTCTGAGCACAGTAACTTGGGTAATGACTGACAATGCTCCTGCAGATGATCTCAGTGATTGAGCTGGGATATAAGGGTTCAGGCAAACCCCGAGGTACCCTATTGCAGTGAACACGCTTAAAATTACAAATCAAGGATAAACTGGGCAGCACACCCAGTATCTAGTGATATATATATATGCGGGTGGCACTGTGGGTTAAACCACAGAGCCTAGGACTTACCAATTAGAAGGTCAGCAGTTCAAATCCCCGCAACGGGGTGAGCTCCTGTTGCTCGGTCCCAGCTCCTGCCAACCTAGCAGTTCGAAAGCACATCAAAGTGCAAGTAGATATATAGGTATCACTCCAGTGGGAAGGTAAACGACGTTTCCATGCGCTGCTCTGGTTCTCCAGAAGCGGCTTAGTCATGTTGGCCACATGACCCGGAAACTGTACGCCGGCTCGCTCAGCCAATAAAGCGAGATGAGCGCTGCAACCCCAGAGGCGGTCACGACTAGATCTAATGTTCAGGGGACCCTTTACCTTTACATATATATATATATATAGTCTAATAGATATAAACGGCAGAACTTACTTTTCACATGATCTGACTCCTCTCCTGCAATACCCGTTTTTGTTTTCTTCTATGTTGCCATCTGCAATAGACATGTTTATGTCAATTCATGTTTCTGTTTATGTGCATGTTTATGTTATCGTTTTCTTACATTATCTGTACATAGTCAGCACTTAATTGAAAACATCAGCAAACAAAAAAATGCACACACTTAAAACACAAAATCATCAAAACTGGAAAAATAACAGGTTCACATGGGGGATAGCACCCAAATAAGGCTCTTGCCACCAGCAGTGACTGGTCAGTTCAATACAGGAAGCTGAGCAAGATAAAGGCCACCTCCCCTTGTTTTTCTTCCATCAGTGGATGTTCCACTGATTATCCCAGAACATGGAGGTCTTGTTTATTGGCTACTGCACTATGGTTAATGGCCATTGCTGGACCTACCATTGATTGCGTTGTCACAGGGATGGTCACACATTGGGTGAGTGAGTCAAACTACAAATGCACAAAACATTGAGGAGTTGATGGGGCTGAGGGTGAAGGAGTGAATTAATAATCTAGAACATGCCTTTTCTGTAAGACACAGGTATTCAGGCCAAGCTGCAGGCTGCATGTGATTGGGTGCACAGGAGAATCGGTAGGTTTGTGCAACAAAGGGGTGGATGCCACACATTAAAGGGGAACCTGAAATTTATGAGAATACTAGAAGAGGGGTAAGGAACACTTTTCAGCCCAAGGGTTTTTCTGAGCAGCTTTCTGAGGGCCATATGTCAGTGGGGGGTGGGGGCAGTTATGAAAATGGGAAACACCACAAATACAAAATTCACCGTTGTCACAGAACTCTCCATTTGGCTCACTCAGTCATCTTCCCCCAACCATGCCCATCTGTTCTCATAAGTGATGTCAGGTAGACAGAACTGGAAATTGCATCTGGAAAATCAGGTTTGAACTCTCCACATATCAGTGGATGGGCAGAGAAGTTCATTCCTGCTTGGTTAGGGTTCACGAGTTTCTTCCCCACAGGGAACTTGCTGGTACCCCTGAATCCTGCAGAAACCAGGACCAAACTCCCTGTATATCAGCTGATATGTGGGGAGTTCAATCCTGCTTGGTCACTATTTTCGCCTATCTCCACAGGTCAATTTTAACAAGTGGGCAGGACCCCTCACCTTGTGTCATTATGATTTCAGATGATTGGCTGGTGGTCCCACCCACCTGTCCATTTTGGCCCACATGTTGGGGAGATAAATGTCTGTCCCACTGGGCCAAAAATGTTCCCACCCCTGACTATACAGAAGTATAGTCTCCCTCTCTCTCTCCTGACAAAAAAAAAGGCATCAGCTGAGTCCAAGGGCAAATTCTAAGCAGGCAAAAACACTCATGCAAGGCCAGTGAGGGAGATGATCTGGAAAAAGTTCCAAGGAGTAGATAGAGAAGCTCAGGGGGGGCTCATTTGTCCCCTAGGCCCCCTACCACTTCAGAAGACTCCCTCCCCCAAGTTTGAAAAATTCTGTATGAGAACGCCACTGAACTCCACTCCTCTTCTCATTCGCTGCTGAGGCCTCAGGGAAGACATATTTCAAGGCCTCTGTGCGACTGCCATTCATAACTGCTGTAAAATAGGTCGAGGTCCCCATGAAACTGTTCTCAAGTTCCTCTTATTCTTCCCCCATTAAAAAAATAACAGTGCGGAGATGAATTCTTAGGGCTGCTGTGTATAAACATTTCCGCAGCTTCTCCTTTTCATATATCAAGGTGAAGGAAGAGCAGATAAAACTTCAGGTGCTTCATTTAGTATTGCCAAGTGTGAGACTTGCTACAGTAAAGATGGAACAGACAGGGGCTGATTAATTCTGCCATTCTTTCTATTATTTAGATGCCTAGAGCAATATATTGCATCTGAAATGCACATCTGACATTAATCATGGCGGAAGCCCCAGTTGACTTCCGTAGAGCTACTCATCTGCTTAAATTTTAAGAGAAGGATTGATCCCCTTTACCACGCTCTTCAATGAAATATTTGGTGTTGCAGCATTAGACAAATTACCGTATTTTTTGCTCTATAAGACTCACTTTTTCCCTCCTAAAAAGTAAGGGGAAATGTGTGTGCGTCTTATGGAGCGAATGCAGGCTCCGCAGCTATCCCAGAAGCCAGAATAGCAAGAGGGATCACTGCTTTCGCTGCACAGCGATCCCTCTTGCTGTTCTGGCTTCTGGGATTCAGAATATTTTTTTTCTTGTTTTCCTTCTCCAAAAACTAGGTGCGTCTTATGGTCTGGTGCATCTTATAGAGCAAAAAATACGGTACTTGTGAGGTCTAATCCAACTTACCAGTAGCGTGCTGGCCATTTCCTACCTCCTGCTCTCAAAATCCCAGGCACTTAAATTATAGAAGTGGGATCCTGCAACAAAATGTTGCAGACCTTTATTCCATCAAGCTCAGTACTGTCTACACTGGCTGGCAGTGTGTCTCTAGGGTTTCAGACAGGGGACATTCCTGACCCAACCTGGATATTTCAGGAATTGAACTTGGGACCTTCTGCATGCTAGGCAGATGCTGTACCACTGGGCTATATAGCCTTCCTGGCTTCTGCTGAGAGTTCACTTCACTCCATTCTCTTACCAGCACCCAAACCTTCACTCAGCATTCTGTGCTCACTGTGGCTGCTCAGTCCTCATTTTGGTTCCCCCTCCCTGCCTCTCTGTGCGCACAAATGTATTGGATTTCATTTATTTTTATGGGCAACTCCCATTTATTTACTGAATTTCTATTCTACCCCTTCCTCCAAATTCTGCAAAGCAATGCAAACATTGTGGTCTTCTTTTTTAAGCATTTTAAAGCATCAAATAAATGTGTTAATTGTACAGGCAGCATAGGACGCTGGCAAGGAGATACATAAAACATGAAAGGAGACTGGTGTATTTGGTCTCCTCAGAAGACAGTAGCAGCTACTGTTACACATTTAGGGCTTACATTAGTGTTTACAGCCCTCAACAACTTACGTCCCCCTATATCTGAGATTGTCTCCATCCTTACCACCTGGCTTGGGTGTTAAGATCTATAGACTCGTGGCACTTCCTCCATCCTCAAAAGTGTGGGGTTTGGTGGCCCAGGAGAGGGCATTCTCTGGGGCAGCCCCTACATTTTGGAACTCCCTCCCCACAGAGGTGTGTTTAGCATCTTCCACTAGACAAATTTTTGCTCTATGCTGCAGATACACTTCTTTACCTTGGCCCTTGGCAATTAAGGTATTTTGCTTTGCAAGTCCAACCTTATTTGCTGAATTTATATTGTTTTGTCCCACATGGAATGGTTTTATGTGTTTTCTAATTGTTATGATTTTAGCTGTTTTTATAACTGCATTTTCTGTGAGAGGGGTGAGTGAGAAAATTTATAAATAAATAGTAAGCCCAACCAAATTACATACTAATGATAATTAGCTGTATATACATAATTTGTTAATTTATTTTTATTTTTATTTTGCACATTGACTGTTAAAGCTTTTTTTAAAAAAGAAGCAACAACGCCATTTTTCTTTCAGTGCAGAAAACACACATTCCTTCCCTAAGGACATTTAACCACAGCTTCTCAGTGTGAACCAGGAAATTGTTCATCTAGACAATGAGAAAGATTCACCTCATGTTTTCTACAACTGTGTATCTTCCTTCATCTTCCTTTTCCAATTACTGCATTCCTTTCCACCCTCCCCAGTATTTTGCTTTTCAGTCAGTCTACAGATGGCAGCTGAGTATTTATTGGGCTGTTTCAGGGTTTTCCCTCTCTCCTTTCTGAAGACTTCGGCAAACCTTGGGGGTTATTCTGAATCTCCCTCTTGCCCATGGGGGAAGCCATTTTTGCTTCGTTTGTACAAGCACAAAAAGACTTGATTCAGAAACAGAGTCAAGGATGACAGCTGATAGCCGGTTTGTATATAGAAGCAAACAGCTACAGGCCCCTTCCTACAGAATGACGAGGGAAACAGTCACTTCATGCAAACTCTACCTCTTTGGCACTAAAATGTGTGTCTTCACTCAACGAGGCTGATAATTCCTTGTACTGAGCCAAAGCATGTAGTTGTTTATTATTATTATTATTATTATTATTATTATTATTATTATTAAGTTTACTCCTCAAAATTCACACAATGGAATCAACTGTTTTCTCTTACCTGCTTAATTATCCATGTCATGTTTTCTGGGAAAGCATTAATTCCCTTAGTGGAGCATAAAGATGACTCAGATGTTTTATAGGGTGGGGGGAGGAACACAAACATGACAAACTTTGTGCATCTGGAGGATGAAATGATCTCGTTTTGAATTAATTTTAAAGCAATTTGTAAAGTGTTTCCCTCTTACAAAGATGGATTTTGTTTGGCATTCCAATGAGATGTTTAAAATTGTAGTCATCCCTCCTCCCTCATATATCCTTGCTTCTAGTGAGTCACAGCTTAATTTCCTAGCAAATGTGGTAAACAGACGATATTGTATTCTTGGGGTAATTCTCCTTTGTAAAGTGAATATGGATTGGTTCAATACCATCCAGAGAATCAGATAAATCTGTGAATAACAGTTGATGGGGTAGTGGGGTGGGGGGTGGGAGAGCTGAAGCCCTCATGCCATGGAATGGACTCCTTTGGAAGGTGGAAAACTCTCCTTCATTGGAGGTTTTTAAACAGATGTTGGAAAGCCATCCCAGTCAGAGATTCTTTCAATGCAATTCCTGCATTGTAGGGGTTGTACTAGATGACCCTTGGAGTCCATTTGATTATTCATTCATTCATACATACATACATACCCCATACATACCCCAGGGACGCGGGTGGCTCTGTAGATTAAACCACAGAACCTAGGACTTGCCAATCAGAAGGTCAGTGGTTCGAATCCTCGCAACGGGGTGAGCGCCCGTTGCTCGGTCCCTGCTCCTGCCAACCTAGCAGTTTGAAAGCATGTCAAAGTGCAAGTAGATAAATAGGTACCGCTCCGGCGGGAAGGTAAATGGCATTTCCGTGCGCTGCTTTGGTTCGCCAGAAGCGGCTTAGTCATGCTGGCCACATGACCCAGAAGCTGTACGCCGGCTCCCTTGGCCAATAAAACAAGATGAGTGCCGCAACCCCAGAGTCGGTCACGACTGGACCTAATGGTCAGGGGTCCCTTTACCTTTACCTTTTACATACATACCCCACCCATCTGGCTGGGTTTCCCCGGCCACTCTGGGCAGCTCCCAACAGAATATTAAAAGCACAATAAAACAGCAAACATTAAAAACTTCCCTAAAGAGGGCTGTCTTCTAAACGTCAGATAGTTGTTTATTTCTTTGACATCTGGTGGGACCCTGTAACCTCACTTCTCACAATGAGGGAACTGCCAGAAGGCCCTCGGTGCTGGACCTCAATGTCGGGTTGAACGATGGGGTGGAGACGCTTCTTACAGGGCCGAGGCTATTTAGGGCTTTAAAGGTCAGCACCAACACTTTGAATTGTGCTCAGAAACTCAACAATTCCAACTCAACACGTCTATGATTCTGTGCCCTGCTTGTGAACTTTCTTGAGACGTTTGGTTTGCCTGTGTGAGTAACAGAAAACTGGGCTAGATGGGCCATTGGCCTAAAACAGGAGACCTCTTCTGGATTGTACCAGCAGGCAATCCATTATTTACATGAATGAAATGCACTACTCTGTTCCAGCTTGACCTGAACAGGAGCGCTCCACTTTTCTTTTTTTCTTTTTTGCTAGTACCACAAAATAGGATCTTAGCTTGAGGATTTTGTTACTAAAAGTCAGCATGTTCGCAGGAATCAGCTCCTAGTCAAGGCTTGGCATCGTTAACAATGTCTACATGCTGTTGATGCTGACAGCAATACACAGTTAGACAGAGAAAGATCATGGAAAGAGCTGGATTTGGGTTGTATTATCAATTAATTAATTATATTATTAAATCTGCGGACAGATTTAATAATATAGTTAATTACATTATTGTTATATGATTGCACATCATTAATTTAAATGGGGCGCACCATCAATAATATGTTGTTTGTGTAGTGGGGAAAAATAATAGCGAATTGCAGACTGTGGAAGAAAATGATGGCAGCAAATATAGATTGTATTTGCCTGCCTGATTACCATTCCTACTTGCAGATGGACACACAACCTGACCCAGTTCCTAGCACCATTCTTCATTTCCATGGAATTCTCTGACCCAGGAAGATCTCAAGCTAGCCTTTCTCATGGACAGAAAAGAATGGAGGAGGGAGCCATTTTGATGAACATTTTCTCAGGGAATTATTATTATTTTTTTCTGAGCCACTTCCACTCAGCTCTAGTCTGAATTTTCCAAATGTGCTACAATAAATCAGCCCTGGGTCCCCCAAAAGCACTGATTGGCTAATGGAAACTTGTAGCAAACATCTCTGTCTGCCTCAGAGCATAGTGCAGCCCAGGAGCCAGACTTGTAACTAATGAAAACATAAACCCCAGCTCTGTTTCCTTAGCCCCATAGGGAGCATATTTTATTAGAATCATAAATTTGAGTTTAGCTACTGGGGCTGCCGCTACGGCAAGGCATGGCACTCAGATAAAAGGGAGATCCTCCTGGGAAGGTTAAAGGAGTCCCAAGCACCAGTTGTTCAGGATTCTGCAGGAGTCTTGCAACTGTATGTCACAAAAGCTTTAACATGTCTTTTGCCTTTGAGATAGTTCTGTCAATGCCACACGCGGCACCTGATGGTATCGCTAGTCTAGTATACGTGCGCCTATCTACATGAATGTTACTGAGACTGGAGATGTGTTTGCTGAGAGTATTTAGTTCAGTGGGTTTATAGAGATGGCTCTGCCTTTCAGTTGCCATGTTGGTCTTATTTGCTTTCTTCCTCTCTCTGCTGCCAAGATGGCAATTGGCAACAGGCCTTTTTGAGTCTTTTTACTGTCTAATGAAGGGATTAGACCTGGGTCACCCCTAGATTGAGTCTGCCTCCCCCCCCCAAAAAAAACCTTTTAGCCCAGGACATTTCCTTCTGAGCAATCTTCTGGGGGCTACGTGACTGTGGTGGGTGGGGCCAAAGTGAGGTAGGTGGTACATGTCATCATCATCTGAGGCCCTTCTTTGTGTGGCTCCTCCATGAGAGGTCTGGAAGGTGGTAATGCAAGAACAAGCCCTCTCTGCAGAGGCAGGCAAAATCACTCTGCTTGTCCCAGGCCTTTGGCTAATCAAACAATCTATGAGCTTTTAAGTTATGAGGGGGCATGGTTTTGGTTGCTGGTATGTTATGTGTTTTTGTGTTTTTAATTGTAAACAGCCCTGTGACTCTTGGATTAAGGGCAGTAAAGTGGTACCTTGGGTTAAGTACTTAATTCGTTCCGGAGGTCTGTACTTAACCTGAAACTGTTCTTAACCTGAAGCACCACTTTAGCTAATGGGGCCTCCTGCTGCTGCCGCGCCGCCGGAGCACGATTTCTGTTCTCATCCTGAAGCAAAGTTCGTAACCTGAAGCACTATTTCTGGGTTAGCAGAGTCTGTAACCTGAAGCGTATGTAACCCGAAGCGTATGTAACCCGAGGTACCACTGTATAGAAATGCAATTAATA